CTGTTTCCCACAACTTACTAGTCGTCTTTCGATGGAAAATATAGTGAAGATAAATAATCAACTTGAGCACGGAAGCAGATAGGACAGCGTCTGGGAGAATTTGCTGCTTTCAGACGATGATATTTCGTAGAGCCATAATAGATTGTTTATAAGTATCGAATATAAGACAAAGTAACGGTGCCTATTTACCCGTAAAAATTGTTTTAACGGGCTTGCACTAGTCTTGGTTGAGGATAATAAGTCAGTGGATTCTGAGAGATACAATAATTCAAACCTGCCACCAAATGATTTAGAGCAGGCGAGCATAAGGCGTTCTGCAATAAATAAGCCTTTCTTTCTAACACAGTAACCTTGATTTTAGTGGAAATCGGCAGTGCTTGACATTCATTAATTAAAAACACTGGTGATTGTGTCGGTCAGAAAACCACTGACCGAATGACCATCGGAGGCAAAGATGGTCGAGTATAATAGTGCATCGTCCTAGAGAAAGAGGCTTTTCTGCGTTCAGAGACACGGTGCAATAATAATCTAACATCCAGTCATTGGATGAAAAGTATGACTTTAAAACATTCATTTCAGCCTGGTTCTTAAAGTGAAAACGAATTATGTAAGATTCTGCGAGCCTCCGCTATTTCCCCTTGCACGAAAACCACTGAATCGGCTTCACATACGTTGAGCGTCTATTCCAGCAAAGGTATGCCGTCATACTTGGTCGTCTTTAGTGTCCGCTTGATGTTGGCCTGTGACGCAGACCCGTTCTGAGCGTGCTCGGAGCACTTACTGTAGCACTTACTGCCGCGTGCGCGTGTTGGGGTCGCGCTGACACAGCCCTCTGATTGGCAACGCCGATGCGTCAACCTCATTGGTAGCGGGTCCCTCGGACGTTTGATTGGATGGATGGCAGCCACAAGGTGGATAAGCGAAGTTTCGTATTCAGGATCCTCTAAATACGACCTATAGGCAACCCCTAAATTAGCTCGACACTGTTGCCAACAAGCGCCCCCCAACTGGACTTACTCTCTCAACATAGCGTCCGATGTGAGTAGTCGCCTTTCATGCTTAACTCGTTGACTGAAACAAAATTCCATTCTATACCAATTGAACTAATTAATTACATTTAGAAGCATTTTTATTTTCTGTAATTTGTCATAAAACAGCTATCTGCTGTCGACTCAAAACCGACTTCAACATTACGAAGGTAACGGTCGGAATATAAAAAGTCTCATTGCGATCTGTTGGTTTTAGTCGAGGACTCATTACCGTTGAAAATTTTCATTGTTTAACTGGAACCTAATAAAAGACAGAGTCGGGTGTTTTTAAAGTTTTTTGACTGCGGTTTGTATAAAGATTTGTAGACTTTGCAGGGGTGATAATTTAAATAAAAGGACTAGGCAAGCCTTTTGAGTCGTGTTTTTCTGCATGATCTTCGCGTACCATTTCGGGGAGAATAACTATAACAACGCAAGCGTGCACAAGTTTGGTGATATTTTGCCGTCACTCACCTATTTGGATTATGCTTGTCACTCGTCGCGGGAGGCCATATTTTTGACGAGGTTGTCACTACTAAGTTCGCGAAATCAACTATAAATTCAAAGCTTCTATTTCTTTATTTAGCCAATATTCTAATGGTATATCCTACCGGCGAGTACTCTGCAACCCACAGCTAAGATGAAAGGAAAATACTTTGGCCATCCCAGAAAGATTGTAATTTATTATACGCCCGAATACTATGTGGGCTCGCACTACGAATACGGGTTGAGTGCTCGTGCTACTATTTATGCAGTGAGAGCCCTCATGTTGATCCGTCATAACTCTGAAATGTCATACTCAGACGGTTTCCATCAGGTTTTCGCTGCCTGAGTTGCCTTCCTGAAGAACTGTCCGCGGCTTTATTCGGGTAGGAGAGGCTTTTGCTTACATGCTCTGTTTCTTGTGACATATATCGTAAAGAGACGCCAGCGTTGTGCGTGCGGGCGTACTTTACCCCGTCATCTTTCAGACAATGGCAGGGCAGTGGCCAAAATGTATCTTATCACTTGCTGCTTCGCAAATGGCAAACATTGCTGGTCAGAGGGTTCGGTAAACCTTCAGATTCTGTCACCATGAAGTACTTTATTTGTTCATGTCGTAGCTTCCAAATACTCTCTGCCTGGTGACATTCACAAAAGTTCTCAGGTCACGGTTTCCGCCTACGAATTTCTGGCTTGTTATTGCTTAAAGGCTGGCTGCTTGACTGTACTCGCACCGACAATGGTGGCCGCAGATGACAGAAGTGACCGCAGAAGCTTATCGGCCACTATATTGCCCCTGTACGTGTGATTATAATTAGGAGGAGGGGTGAAAACCATGTAGCCGGCATTTTGGTTAAAATATTTTGGATTTTTTAAATGTCCGCTCATAAAGACGATTGGCAATTTAGTGTCGTTAACAATGACGGTCTATCTAACAACTGAGTCCCAAATGATGGAGAGTCTGATGAAATGACAAAATGATGTCAAGATCAGGCTTGGTGTATGAAAGGCTTCGAATGACTGATGGGTCAGAAATATCCTAATCTAACCGACATCACCTCGTTAACCTTATTCACGAAATGGTAGCAACTTTCCGTGCTGTTTGTAACCACGCGTGGTAGTTATCCCAATATATCAGACAGTCGTGATCTTCGATGCGTGAATGCCATAGGTGCGATCATCGACGTGTTTGTGCAAATCTACGCGGGTTGCTGTGAAAGTCTGCTATCACTGAAAACTAATTAATGTGCAAATCACTGCCCTGCGTCCGCAACCTCTTGGGCCACACGGTAGACATCCTCGTTCGCGATAGTTAAACTGTCACATGCGCTTACAATCGAGTGGACCACTGCTATACCTGGATATGCGTGAATACCTTTGAGGAGGCGCACTGTTGTAGGCTGGAAACCCTGGCGACTGTCTGCCATCCAGGTTATAACGGATGCACCAGGCTTGCAGTCGTGATGAAGACTTGCGGTCACAAAAAAGGCTGGTTGGGGGGTGTTTTCACACTGGAGTCAGTTGTCCTCTGCGTCCTGGCGGACAGCATGCTACGGTTGGGTACACAAGCGCACAAATGCACTCTTGCCCGCTAAAGCGCAAGTATTTGCTGGGCACTTAAGGGACCGCCTGGGTGTTCCCTGAAAAGGGAACATGTGCCCATTGCGCTGGATATCCGGTTTTAGCTTTTTTGAATGGTCGGAGAGGGTAAAAAGCTCAGAACACACTCGCGACC